AAAAAAAAAAAAACTGAAAAATTGCCGCCGAGCCCGCCTAGGAGCGCCTAGGTCCACCTAGGCGTCGCCTAACCGCCTGGCCGCCGAGCCCGCCAAGTCCGCCTAGGAGCGCCTAGGCCTGCCTAGCGCCCTGGCCGATTTTTAGAACAGAGAGTGCATATCATTGTTCAAGTAAAGTGTAGAGGGAGTCTACGTCATAAACCCTTGAAGAATGTATGTGATATTTCCATTAATGAAAGAGATCCGAAGGGAGAGTGAGACGCTCTCCTGAAGGTTCAATTTTCAGTGATACTGCTTCCGCAATTGCTTGAATCTTCTTTCAATTAAATTCTACCTATTTGTATGCAAATCTAAATACTTGGTGTACAAGTATCAAATTTCAATTAACACCAGAGCGGCTTTTCGTTTGGATTACGAAATATCTAAGGACTTGTGTTTTGGGCAATCATGAATAAAGAAAGTGGATCAATGTCTAGACCTCCGCAATTGGATGGTTCTAACTACTCGTATTGGAAAGCTATGATTACGATCTTCCTAAGATCGCTTGGAAGAGGTGAGTGAGAAAGTGTCGAAAAAGGATGGGAGCATCCTGTCATGTCAGAAGCACCAGATCAAGGAAAATGAACTACGGCAACTACGGTCCCTAAACCAAAAGATAACTGGACAGATGCTGAGAATCTTCAAGAAAAAGCCAACTACTATTCCTTGTATGCAATCGTGATAGCAGTGGATCAGACAAGACACAAGATGATAGTTCAATGCAAGACAACAAAAGATGCTTGGTGGATCCTACAGCATCAATTTGAAGGTTCAATGGCAGTCAAAGCATCCAGACTTCAACGAGTGACTCTTGAATTTGACGAAATCAGAATGCGGGATGAAGAAACAATTGATATATACTATGCCAGATTTTGTGATCTGGTGAATCAAAGTGCAATGGTTGGAGAAGAAATCTCTGAGAATCATTAGGTTCAAAAGATTATGCGAACAGTTGCTCCCAAGTTCAGGGAAAAAATTACAGCCCTTGAGAGCTTCCAAAGAATTGTACCTCTGGATGTTGATGAACTCCTTGGCGAACTGAGGACGTTTGAGATCAACAATAATTATGACGAAGTCAAAAGCAAGGGACTGACTCTCAAAGCTGTTGTAGTTCAGGAGAAAGAAGACAACGATGACGATGAAGGTTCGACGGTGGATGATAGCGAGCTGAAAGAGGCCCTTGCACTTATTGAGAGAATCTACGGAAAGATGAGTCAGAAGCTACACAAGAATAAGTTTGTTGAGAGAAAAGTCAACAATTCCAGCAAGAATGCGTTTCAAGACAAGAAGAATGGTATGCCTTTTTCGAAACCTGACTCACAAATGAATTGAAACGGACCAATGCAGGGAGTGTCGAGGATTTGAGCACTTTCAAAATGAGTGTGCTAATCTAAAGAGAAGAACAATTCTCTGAAGGCAACATGGGAAGATTCAGATGACGAAGGTACAGACGACCCTCGATCTCACACTAGGAATATGGCAATTCATTCCTCTATTAAAAAGTTCATGTGTCTCACCACATCCTATGTTCCGACAAAGTTTGAAGAGAGCATGAGAGAGGCTGAAATATCTTATGATGAAGCAGAACAAAATATGTGTGTTGATTCTGTACACTTGCTAGCCATGGAAAAATGTTCACAAGCATCTGAAGACATGAAGAAGCTTCAGAGTGAAGTGTATAAACTGACAAGGACAAATAAACTGTTGAGTGAACATGCCTCCTCTTCAAGGAAACAGAAAATATTCTCTCTCTCTCTCTCTCTCTCTCTCTCTCTCTCTCTCTCTCTCTCTCTCTCTCTCGTTTGCCCCAAATTCACTTAAAACCCTAGGTGCAAATTTCTGATCTATAAAGCTCCTCACCAGATCGGGTGGCGCGGCCAGCTGTGGCGGGGGGGTCGATGCCTGCTTATCCCAGTCGGTTTGGTCCTCGACGAGTGGCGGGCTTCCTTCGCGTGGGTTGTTTCCTTACGAGGATGCCATGGCAAGGAGTTTTATGTGGTCGTCGGTTCGTTTTGGGAGTGCGGTGGGCTGGGCTGGAGGCGGTGTTCGGCCTTCGTGTGAGGCCTGACCCTCGAAATTCCTTTTTTCGGTGGCCCTTGGTGCTTGGTCGCCGGAACTCCCCGGCCGGTGGTAGTTCTTTGAGTCGACGGGTGGGGGCTTGTGTGGAAGGTCGTGGGTCTGGGGTCTCTCCTGGAGGCTTGTTGGTAGTTGTATTAGGTTGGCTTTGGGTCTCGGGCTGGTGTGGTTTAGCCGTCGTAGGTTTGAGTGTTCCACTTTAAGCCGTGGATCGGAGCTTTCCTTTTGTGGTTCATAATCAGGGTGTCTTCTTGAGCCATGTCGGTTCGGTGCTCTTTGCGCCTGGGAAGGAGGACAGTTTTTATTTGTATTTTTATTTTATTGTTTAGATTCATTTTTATTTTTATTTGCGTGTTTGGTTTTTGTTTGTGTGTTTGGTTGTGTTGTTTGTGTGCGTCAGTGTTTTTTTTCTCCGCCTTTAAGAGTGTGAATTCTCCCGTGGGGAGTATGTATTTCTCATTAGTGGGGTTTTTAGTTTTTTGTAGTTTTGTTGTGTGTTGTGTTCTAGGCTACCTGTAGGTGTAGTCTTTCCTTATTCGCCTAGTGAGCCGGTTGTATATATGTGTTTGTTTTTCTATGAATTTTATATTTTGAAAAAAAAAAAGAACATGCCTCCTCTTCCTTCACTATTGAGAAAGAGAGTGAATTAGATACTGAAAAGGCTCAAACTTCCATTCTTGAAGGTAGTGTCAAACTTGCTAAACAAGATGGGTTGGAAAAGACTCAGACCATTGAATGCTTAAGGTCTGAACTATTTTCAACTCCAAAACTTCTTGCTGACCGAACAAGGAAATATTAAAGCTCAAAAGTGAACTTAGCCGACTCATGAACGAACACTCGAGCATGGAAAGCAAACTGAGTGCAAACTCGGCAGAGCTAGAACGTACTACAGAGGCCATTCGGAAATTGAACAAAGGGAAAGCGGATTTAAATGAACTTCTCTCCATGGGAAGACAATATGGTGATCTCACCGGATCGGGTTACACTGGCAACGTTGACAAATCTGTTCATCCCTCTGAAGGTACAGTTAAAATCAATCATCCAGGCCTTGGATTCTCAGACAAGTCTGGTATTGAAGGTACGAGTCTTCATGGGAAACCATCTCGCAACTTGTTTGGCAGGTTTGTAAAAAGCACTGTAAGTAAATCTTCTCCACCTAAACCTGCAGTGAAGGTTCATGTACGAGTCTTTATTTTTATTTTTATTTGCGTGTTTGGTTTTTGTTTGTGTGTTTGGTTGTGTTGTTTGTGTGCGTCAGTGTTTTTTTTCTCCGCCTTTAGGAGTGTGAATTCTCCCGTGGGGAGTATGTATTTCTCATTA